GCGGAGCCCTGCTTTTTTTTTTTCTCTCTCTCTCTCTCTCTCTCTCTCTCTCTCTCGCTCTCGCTCGCTCTCACACTCAGACACACACGAGCTGGGAGGTGGAGTTCGGATTGTTGAGGTCCGATCAGGGAATTGAATGGTCCCGAAAGAACCGTCCGTTCACTAGTTAGCTATGTTCTGAGTGTATGGAGGTACTAGAGCCCAGCACCATGGGTTTTCGTCGAGATTATGCAGACTTATGCGTTGAACATTCCCGAACGGGATGAAGGTGCACACTTGCCCCCATCTGACGGCTGCCGCGGAGCTGGACCTCAAGCTGGATGCGTGCTTAGATGGAAGCAAGTGCGCACAGGTTCCAGTTCCACCTCTCTATTTCCTGGATCATCGAGGCATGGTTCTCCGATGAGCTCAAGACTGGCAACTTTGGCGGTCCTCAAATTCAGGAATTCCCAGTTGCGATGCTTTTTGGTGGACGTTTCTTTACTGTCCTCTTGGGATTGGCTTCGAGTGTAGGGCTCTGCTCCAGTTTTGACGGTTGAGCTTGGAGCGGCCCACAGCCTCAACCCAACTCGAGAGCAACGGATGCCAGAACCACGGCGATGTCGAACGTGTTCTCGGTGGCATCCGACAGCATGTCTTGGGAGCGTTGAACATACGCTGCTCGGTTGCTGCAGGTGTCGCCAATCTAGTCCATCAGTTGTGCCGCTGTGACTCTTCCAAATGTTTCCCAGTCACTCAAGTGTCTCTTTCCATGTCTGTCTTCACCAAGGAGAGTTTTTCCGTGTCGACGAGGCAGCAAGCTTGCAGGCATGGACTGCTGCCGAACATACAAGCGACAGGACCGACACTGCGACGGAAAGTTTTGTGCATCAATTCTCCGTCAATTCTCGCAGCCGTCTTCCTTCGTTGCATGCTTAGGTCTGAAAGTCTGAAACTGTCCCTCTCCGCTTAGATTTATCAAACTTATCAATTATCAAACAACAAAGTCGCAAAGTTGCTCGACCACCAAGCTGAAACCTGCTGCAAGCTCCCATCTTGAAGAGCCTGCAATGAACTCGTCCAGCTCGGCACGAAAGGAAATCAGCTGGAATCCATGGCGAGACACCATTGCCGGGAGATGGTAAAACAACAGACTTGATGAAGCAATACCAGCTCTCCATCTGCCTGTGCTTCCAGGATACCGCACCAAGAGTGTTACGAGGCTCTGAGGATCCTGAGCTGATCTGGGAAGTCGATGTAAGCAAGCATCTCACTGTCGCAGCCCAGGAACAGTCTTCTTCCAACCCTGGGGCACAAACGCAGCGGTGCCGTGATCCCTGGTGACGTGTCCCCCAGCTGGCAGTCTAGATCTTGGGCTTGGGTGCTGAACTTGAGATCAAGACACCGTTGTTACCTTTTTGTTCAGGTCACGAGCCTGCTGCGCAGACTTGGGCAGCCTCAAGAGCCACATCACAAGCCTTCAGCAGGTGCCTTGGACTGCACTTTTTCGGTGGAGAGAGCATCAGCTCTTGAGCTACCCGGTGTGGCTTTGAAACTCGGAAAGTGATAAACATCCGATAGCAGATTAGTTCAGGAAGGCATCGCAACCACAGACGCGGTTCTGCGTTCGCATGCACACGCATTTCGTGTGGTCGTAGGGTACAGCACTGCGCCCTGACCAAACAACTAATTAAATATTCATGTGTTCTGCAACTGGCAGTGAAGCGAGATGCGTGCTGGTACTTGTGACAATCCAAAAACGTGTTGTGAGCCTCCCGAGGCTCGCATTGATAGCCCAAAGTCCGGAAAGTGCTCCGACATGGGTGCCGAAACTCGCAGCGGTGCCCACGGCAGGACCTTGGGAATCACTACGCGGCCTTGGAAGGTGATATGCTCAATTCGCTTCGAGGGGCCATTACCTACGAAAGGCTGCGGGCTTTGGCGGGCTTTGGTGCATGGAACATGGTGGAATGCTTTCCTTTTGAGTTGGCTAATGTAGTCGTGCATCTCGCAACAAGGCCTTCATCATTCAGAGTCAAGTTCTTTTGCCTCGTCATTGCAGGCTGGAGATGCGAAAGGGCCCCGTGGGCGATGGCAACATGGCCCTGGTGGAGCCCTACTTTCGCCGTATTAAGCTGACCCCAAGCGCCTGCCATGCAGATGGCAGCGAGGGCAGGTGTCTCCTTACTTGCTCCGTAATTTTCCGCTTCATCGCAGACCCAGGTGCAGCACAGCGGCTTGGGTACGACACCGACATTGTAGCACACAATGGCTGGGTTATGGCATCTCTGTCGCATATTGTGACTGGAGACTTAGATTTTCTTTGTGCTTCGCTGGCTTGTTGGATGTGAGCTGATTCAGAGCACAGTAGACTTGCACGGCAAACCATAGCCATGCGGCCGTTCTTGCAACACTCGGATGCGCTTGTGTTGAGGATTGGCCAGCCACGGAGGACTTTGCCATGCCTTCCTGGCGGATGGTGTACTTGCGCCGGCAGCTGTGTGTGCTCGGGCTTGGTCTTGTGTCGTCATTCCAAGAGAGCTAGCAGGGATGGCTGGCAGGTGCGGGAGGGGGATATTCGAGAACGCATTTGGTAGCGGACAGTGCATGGACGCGGACCACGGCAGAGGGGAGGGAGGCTCTTGCCAGGTATACCTGATTTCAGAAGCAACCACAAACCAGAACATCAAGATCTTGTCAGTGGAGGTGTGGACTGACACGGTGAAGCTGTACTACGGCAGCTGCCGGGAGGACGCTCCATTCCTGCGACTTGGACGATAAAACGTACGTGGCTCATGTACTTCTGGGATCCACGTGGTCCTTGCTGCCTGTCTTTGGCCAGCCCTGCATCAGCTGCGTGACGAGATCAGGTGGGACTTCATGACAGACTATGCGGTGGGAATGGCGAAGATGTTCCATGCCGTTCGATCCTGGCCTGATTGGCGATTTGTTTGTTCAGCAATGTTGTGCACGCAGTTCAGCTAATCTACGAGGGTCCACACCACCAGTACACCACCTCAGATATATATATATATATACATACATACATATATATATATACATATGTATATATATATATACACACATATATTTGCTAACGTCCGCAGTCCCGCCCTGTCCCGTCCATGTCCCGGCAAAAGGGCCCACAAGTCTAAGGCACTAGTCTCAAACGAATCTCTCCCCATTAGGTGATTGCCTGCTTCTGCACCCTGCCGAGGTTTGGACAATGCGCACTCAACTCCGCTCCATGTCAGTCGGCACGTCCTGTCCCGTGTTCGCGAGGCTGATGGGTTTCAGCCGGGCTTCAACCACCAATTAGAGCACACTCCTCCAGTCATCTGAGACCCCGTGCGCAAGAGTCCCAAATTGTAAAGATGTCACGGAGGCCAATCCCCACTGCTGGGTCTTTGCCGAGCTGTTTACGGGGAATTTCAAAACAGATCTCCTGTACCAGCGGACTCTGGGCATCAATGCGCTGATCCGTGAGGCACGTTTTGAGGACCCTTGCCGTTTGCTATCAGAAACACGGCCCGCACGTCATGCTTGTTGTGCTTCTTCTTCTTGTTGTTGTGAGCTGACATTGCGTCGCCAGCTGGTTGGAATTCTGTGATACGTTCTGACAGGTCGACACGTTTCATTGAAAGGTCATCTACAGCTGTTCAACTGCAGTCATGACGGCGACAGTCATGCTTGGTGATGGCAGCTTCCCCCCTACCTGACATCATGCGGCGTATGAGCTCCACATGTCACTCTGCACGGATGTATACCACAACACGCAACACAATGTCGGGGCACGTCTTGTCAATCTTGTCAAACAGACTGCTTGGGCATGGTTTGTCACAAGCTGGGACCAGCTCAACATCACAATTTCGCACCACAGCCGGTACCCGGTCTCTGATGCGGTGGGACGGTAAGCTGAAACATGTTTCAGTGGGTTGGCATGATGTCGCTGATTCATGCTGATTCGCCACAATCCTTCACGAAACCGATTTTGCCAATTCTGTAGACACGATTTACCTTCATTAGATCCCGCCCGTACCCACGTCCTTATAGCACCGTAGTCGCTGACTCCAACGGGCACTGTGCAAAGTGCAAGTGCACGACACGAGTTGCCACACTCGCTGGTGATCGACAAACACTGCGCCTTGACAGGCCATGCAGTGCGACAGCCCTCATGATCTTGGCCACAAGCTGGAGTGGTATGGGAGGGAAAGCGTCCCAAAGTGTTACTCTTACTGTCTGAGCTCAGTGGAAGGCGATTCCCATATTGCTCGCAGTCGGTCGCTGTCACATCTGACCTTCCAGGAGAGCCCGCTGTGGAACGGCCATCCGATCGGAGCCTTGTCGCCAGTTTCGACGCTGGACCGGGCTCCACCCGCCGCCGAACAGCGACCTGGAAGCCTTCTAAACGGGCTGAAGGTTGGGGGTTGCAGTCGGATGATGTTTGCCTTTTGGTTAGGCATGGGTGAGCGACTTATCGTCGCGAGACGTTTATGAAGTTCTCTGCGGCATCGTGCGGCGAATGTGCTTTCCATGAGATATGTTCTGCTCTCTGTGTGTATGTGGGGGAATGTGATTGCAAGATATTGCAAGCGTCAGGAAGCACTTCAGCAAGTGCCCATCGCGATCCCTGCTCGCTGCACCAGCCACCGGTTCCAAGTTTCAGCGCACTAGGCTTCAGGTCGCTTTATGGGCTAGCAGGAAGCAGACTCGCTTTAGAAGCCCGGGCCCGCGCCTCCAGGCTCGAGAGGCACTGCCCCTTCTCCCACGCCACTGTCCTGCGCTCCTCTTCGATTGTACTCACGCTGCCTGGCTTCACTTCGCTTCCAGCTTTTTGAAGTCTGATTGTCCTCCTTCCTGTTCAGGACGCGTACGGATTGTTTGTGTCGTTGAAAGCGGATGTGACGGGCTGTGGCAGGATTGAGTAGTTGCATTTCAGAAAGGTACGTTGTGGGGGCC